ACACACACACACACACACACACACACACACACACACACACACACACACACACAATAAGCACTCTTGAAAAAAGTTCTGAACTCAGCTTTAAGGGTGTCGACTTAAATATTCATGAGTGGTACCTTATGAATTAATGATTTATTATATGTTGGTGCAGTGCTGATCAAATTCCTGTTGTGTATTTGAATGTCAGTTGTTGAATCCAAATACAATCCTTCTCAGTTAACTTTGCATCTGACACATGTAACCTAAGGAAGCCTGGGACAGGCAGCCTTGGTTACTTCGCACTGGGAAGCAGCCGGTGAGCGAGCCTTTTTGCCATTACTGTCACGTTTACAGCCGGTCTCACCACACGTGTCCCTGGCAGACACACAGGTGAGAAGGACAAGGCCAGTGACAAAAGAGAGAATGAGTGCGAAATAGTAATTGATGATGAAATTAGAGAGAGGGATGGAGGCAATATAGATCTCTGAGGTGATTAAAATGAATAGGGTGTTAGTGTGTGCACTGGAAACACAAGTGTGTGTGTTTCCATCCAGTGAGTAGATTTTTAATTCAGATATGAGTGTTATATGATTGTTATAAGTTCATTTTGCATAAAACAATAAACACTTCACGTTTCTAGGATTAAAATAATCATCAAATATATTTTCAGTGTTGGAAGCTTTTACAGGAGGCCTATTGTGCTCCTCTCCAGCTGGTCTACTAAAGTAGTTCTGCATGAACAACTGTTCAGAATAGTCCTTATTTATCTTACTTGGGCTTCGGTGCAGTCATTCAGTTCACTCCCTCCCGTTTCATTCACTTTAAGTCAGCTTCCTTCTGACTGGCTCTCTCCCAAACAAGATTTAACAGCAGGTAGTTAAGGCTTCTAAGGTGATCATATTAGATTCAGGTTAAAACAAAGATATAGATAGATAACACACAGGCATAATAGAGCAGCATCATGATGCAGCAAATGATAATTAAGAATTTATACAGCGTCATGTTGGATATCAAAAACTAAAATTTGCTCATCTAGGTGATGGCTGTTTTTATACAACGAAAGGGGGTGGGGGATTGGAGCTAGCTGTCATAGGGCGAGAGGTGGAGTCCACCCTGGACAGCTTGCCTTTTCATCCATCTCTCATCCATTCCTTACCAAATTTAAAAAAAAGGAAGATCATGTCCAAACCATTTAAAAATCCAGAACAAGTCTTAAGCCCTCATCGCATTTAAAGTGATTTGTTTTGTAGCTGATGTTTGGTCATTAGTAGACACTGCTGCTGTGATAACTCAAGAATGGGCTGACGTAGGATTTTCAAATTAATACCTCCATGCATCTATCGATGAGCTAATAAAAATATCGGATGAGTTTGAATGTCTGTGACCTTGAACTCAATGTCAGAGGTTAGAGGTCAAGTTTTCTGAAAATATTTTGAATGTAATAACTCACACTCAAGAAGAAAGTCACCTATAATTTTGAAATTTGCATCTTAAAGGCGACTGACGCCCTGTTTGGTCTTTCACCTGACGTTTCCGGGTTAATTGGCATTCCATACTCATCCCATCAAAGTTTTAAATCAACACACTGATTAGATCAAATGGAAAAAGTCAGTTATCAAAGCAAGTCTTAAGTGTTTAAAATTGACATATCAGCTTGATCTCAACTTTCGTAATCAAGTCTTTAATTAACAGAGTGACCAGACGTGGCATAATTATTTTGTTTGTTTGTTTCAAAGTTTTCACTCTGACTCACGTCAGTGTCTTGTCTTGGGAGCCGGGCAAACATGTGGTTGACTTCATATGTCTGAATGTAAATGAACACAGCAAGTCAACCACGCAGGGGCACAGGCAGACAGGTGGGACGAGTCAGAAAAACTGTAAACTGCCAGTCAGGAAGTCAGTGAGTTGTTCACTAACTCACTGAGTCAGACGCTCAACCAGTCAGCCGGGTAAAGAGCCAGTTAGTCAGGCAGAGCAGTGACTGGCTGTGAGAGTTAGTCAGAGTTAAGTGCTCACAGCCTGCCTTACTCGGTGTCACACTAATCCACTCAGCTAATGGAATTTTCTGCAGCACTGTGATGTTACCTGGCAACACTGCTCTTCCCCATCAGTCAGCCAGACAGACATCAGCCAGTCAACCAGCCATTCAGTTAGTCAGTCACCCTCTTCTGATTAGATCAAATGAAACATTAACGGCACCTATGGGGAGAATAAATCAATATAATGCAGGACACAGTAATGACAAAGTAGGCTATGATGTGATCAGGAAGACAGCAGAGCACAGGCACAGACTGTGTGTGCAAGAGTAGTTCAAAGTAAGACAGAAATGAATGATAGATGCCTGTAATATGAAAAAGAAACACAAACACAAGCCATCATGGACAAATTGTGTTTGTTGGAGCACCATTTCTTTTTCTTTTTTCTCTATTTGTTAGTCTTCCTGAGCCCATCTCCACCAGCTGGGCTCTAATAGGTAGGGTAAATGCTCTGTTTGGCTTTGCTATATTTAGCAATAACATTTGCACAAGGTTTAAATGCCCAAAAAGAATATGCAGTTGGTGCAACAAGCAACTTTACATCAGGGTTAAAACATTTTGTTTTTTCATATAGCCTGGGGTTACATCAGGCAGGTGCAATTGAAAGGTGCAAGTGATACATCCCTAGTATAATCCCAGGAGAAGACACAAATCCCTTTGGAGTTGCGTCAGGAAGGGCATCTGGTAGAGGGAAAAAAAGCTGCCAAATCAAATATGTGGACCTACCTGCTGTGACAGCCCCTTGTGAATAAGGGAGCAGCTGAACATAGCCTCTGACAAAAAGCCCAGATCTTTCTGAGTCATCAAAACCGCACTGCAACACTTTAAACACCAGCTTTTAAAATCAGATAACTTGTAACTGAATTCTGTTTTTAAGTCTCAAGTCCATAGCTGTTGAAAGCACACACACTAATGTCACTTTAAAAACATCAATCAACGCTAACCAGAGTAATATACAATGGGAAAATGCTAAATTTAATATTCATTTGCAAAGTTGCATATCAACCTCTTTGTCTCTTGTAAAGGATTCAATGTCAGCTGGTCACGCATCGCAGTCCTAACTATCGCTGTAAGAGGATGTGATATCTGATCCCTTCTTGGCGTCGTTAATTAGATGTCGGTGGTGTTCAGACTGAGCTAAATTAATCCCAGTATGCCTTCAGAAAATGTCATTACTGGTGCAGTGTGCATCTACAGCCAGCACATTATCATATCAGTCAGAGCGGTATGTGATTATGTGACACGTTCCTTTATGTGCCTTACAGTGAACGGTGCCTGGTCCTGCTGGTCGTCCTGGTCTCAGTGCTCAGTGGGTTGCGGTGGCGGGCACTACCAGCGGACACGCTCCTGTAACAGCCCCGCGCCTTCCAATGGTGGAGACATTTGCATAGGACTACACACCGAGGAAGCCCTATGCAACACACACCCTTGCGATGGTAAGGTCACATAGAAATTCAAAATCTTGTTCTGCCGTGTCACCACTGCTCAGGTGCTTTTATCACACCTTCGGGCAGGCAATCATCTCCCACACCGTGTAATTTCTGTGTCGTCCCCTTTGCTAAATTGCTTCTTTCATCTTTTCCTAATGAATAAACCAGGTCTTAGATATGTGAGAAGATAAACAGAAAACAACCCATCCTCCCACCGTGCCATTTCCTGCTGTGCTGCTGGAACTCGCAGCACCATGGCAACCCCTCCAGAAAGCTTTGAAAAGAGATCCACTGATGTTGTGGTACATATGGATATCTTATTTAATCAATCTGAGGTTTTGAATGCCCAGGTGTAGACAGTATGTGTGTAATATTACTTAAAAAGCTTTATGAGATGGATTTTACAGAACCAACATATTTTCTTCGCTATTCTCTGTGGATTTTAGCCGTGTTGTATTATTTGGCCAGATTTCAGGAGGCTCATTATTGATAGTTCTGCTGCCACTGGTCTCGTTTCGATCATAAACCATCCTCAAGCATGCCTGACAAAGGCCCATGCACCTCTCCTGGCTTTTCTTTCACACAGCTTCACTTTGCTACACACCTGAATACAAGCAGTGCATTAGAAAAGAACATTGCTTCTGCTCACTGTGGAGATGAATGGAATTATGTTTGTGCTGCTTCCAGCTGAAAGATTACACGTTGGTCCTTCTCCAGAGAGCAAAATACTAAATATGAATCTGATAGAACGGGGTTAGAGCAGGAAAGGGAGAGCTGCAGGAGGAGGGTCATTTATTTTGGAGGGTTGCTGAATTCATCTTCTTTAATGTTATTTGTCTGATAAGGTCTTATGTTTTAATGTGTGTTTTGTTACCTTTTGATAAGATAGGCCAGTTGTGAATAGATAACACTCTATCGTGAATTTGTCAATGTGGGGTGTAGATAGATATAGCCATCACAGCATCATCCATTGGTTAGCGGACGTTGCATGTTGAAACATTAGCATTTTGGCCATGTTGTTTTCAAAGGCCAAAGTTAGTTTCCTTATTTAGACCAGCAGGTGGATTCCTAAGTGATCATCTGAGGCTGGCAAGTTTCCTTAGCAAACTGCATCCATAAACTGTATCCTTACAATGCACAGATACAGGCATCTGCTGCCTTGTGCTAAGTAATATATCTTGACCAGTCTGTAATTCACAGATTTATTTATTACTTCTTTTTTTCATCTTTCTTTTTTTTTGCAAAAAACATGTTAAATATTTGCAGTTCAGTGAATTTAATTAGTGGTGGTGCGAGCTGTAGCGGAGAGTTGCCAGCTACAGCTACTTGCTTTGTTTCACCTGCTAATAAAGGTTGAGTAAGTTGCAGTCATGCCCCTTACTTAACCTTTAACAAAGTCTTAGTGGCCATTGGAGGACCTGGCACTTTATTTCAGCTTCATAGAGGTTGTTTGTTTTTTCTGCAGGTGCAATGAAACCTTTGTTTTTGGCTGCTGAGTTCAAATATCAATTAACTTTCTCTAGACTGGAGCACTCCATCTTTAAATACTGTAGCAAGTACTTTCTCTTTCTTTATCAAGACTGAAGACAAAAAAAATATTAGGTGGACAAAACATACAAAACAAACATATCAATGAACCTGCAGAGTGTGAGCAGGGAATTAATACGGTAGCTGCAGAAAGGCCTCTTAAAGCACATAGTATTAGATAACACATTCATTTTAATGGAGAGATAGAATATCAACCAAAATGAAGAAAACCTACATTACATAAAAAAATCAAACAATTGAAAATTGATTTGCGTGTCACAGTGAAATAAGTGCAACCCACTGGCTTCTACAGGTTATAACTGATTGATTGATAACAATTAAGAGCTGAAGTTTCGAGTTGCCAAGCAGTAACCAAGAAATATAAAGGAGATGTGTGCAAACCTGATGACAAGCTACAAGAAATGACTTACTGCTGTACTTTCCTGCAAGTACAAAGCCACTTAATGACACACTATTGCATTCAATTTCTAACTTTTATGTAATGTGCTTTTTCTGGATGTTTGGTTTATGTTATTTCTCTTTTTAAAATGATTGTAAGTTTGCTCAAAAAATGAACAAAGTCAACAGGAGATCAAATAATTACTTCTCTCAATGTATTTAATAAAAGTGATACAGTGTTTATCTAGCATTCATGACTAATGCTGGGCAGACACTGTACGATTTTTTTTTTCAGTCGCGCGATTCAGCTCCTGCTCAAACTGTACGATTGACTCGCAGGGGTTAGAAGTTCATAGGTCACGATGCAGGTCTCACACTATACGACCAGATGCTCTGATGCGACCTGAGTGCTCACACTGTGCGTCCATAAAATGAAGGTTATAACAGAAATTCTGTCGCTCGCTCTCCCTCTCTGGCTTTCACTCACACAGACACACCACCACCATCAACTTTGCTAAATTGCTAATGAAAAACATTGATCAGGCAGCTGTGATTGAGCAGCAGTGTAGATCCAACTATTTTCACGGTTGTTGTGTCGTGATAATTTTGTGAGGCCACATCGAAAAGGGTCGGATGAGCTTTCCAAAGTTCTACAAGTTGCACAGTGTAAGCCCAGCATAAGATGGTGAGTATGGTATAGCTTCCAGACAACAATTGGTGCACTACGTTAAGTCTCTTAACTTTAAACTGACCTTACAGAGCAAAAAGAAAGTGGAATATAAAACAGTTCATGCTACACCTTTGTTTCAGATCTGTGGCCTCGTGTAAAATTCAGATGTTCTGCCAAACTTTGTGGATTACGCAGACTTATGTCCATTTTCATTGCTAAGGTTAAAACATCTAAGAGGCGGGCATCCTAAATACCTGGACAAATAAAACAATCTAGCTATGACTACAGGTAAGTTGGGTTTTATGTATTTAGTTTAAGAACATATCTATACCTTAAAAGTTAAAATAACAGAAACACAAGGGAAGAAGACTTAAATAAGAACAAAAAAAAGTTTGAGTATTCTTCTTTTCCCTTTTACTTTGAAGGTTAGCCTTGCTTTCCCCACATGTGATGATATGTGAGATGTATAAAAACAAGCCACCCCCCCGTCTACTTCTACTCTGCTCCCACAAGGACATTGAAATATTCATGAGAGATCTGCCTGCTAATCCAGGAGGATGGGGGGAAAAAGTCCACCTGCCGAACTCATAAGGTTTCATCCCGATTCTGATTCTAAGGTTTCATTTCAAACAGCCTTGTTTTGTCGCTAACGTGTGATTTGTCATCTGTTCTTTCTTTATTTTATTTTTTTATTTATTTATTTAGGACAGTGCATGTTAATGAACATAAATGTAAAAAAAAAAAATTACATGAATGTAAACATACCAGATTATAGCCAAGGGCTAATTTCCATCTGTTGTCCTTAAGCATAAAAATAGACATAATAATTCATAAAAATTCATCATTCATTCATAATAAAAACTCCATCATCAAACTTACACATACACACCATTCTGTTCCCAAATAAAACATTAAAACTATACAACTCATACATGATCACACACTTGATTTGTCCATAACCAGTTTAGTCTGCTGGCAAACAAAAACAGGCCCAGACAAATATTCATTGTCTGGGATGCTCACGTGTATGTGTGAGTGTAGACAGATGTGTTATAGTGCAGATGACTTCTGTCAGATTTCAACAGCCGTTTCTTCTTAACAGTCACCTTCTTCAGATGCTTTTCCTTTTAAATCAGTCCGACTGTCATTCACACGGAGGGTAACGCTTACAGTCAGCCTCCTCGGTAATTACAGACAAAGAAAGGTAAATGACTTTCTGTCTTTTCCCCTCTTTGCCAAGATGCTAATCGGCCTCCTTTATCAGGTTAATGTTTTCCTGTTTGACGCGGACCAACAATCTCTGTTAACCCCGCACCAGTAGGCTGCCGGCAGTCTCTCTCGATCCCTATCTGTCTCCTCATCTGTTCGCTTATTGACAGGCGAACATCAGTCATCTATTGGGGTCTTCCTGGTGCTGCCGACCTCGCCGCATGTGTAATTAGAGGCAAGCTGGCTGTCAGTCACGAGGATATTTGATGCCTCTGTCGCAGGTCATTTGATTAAAGTCTCCACCAGTAATGGAGGACAGCAGGTAGGACTGTCAGGACAGAATACTAACGAGCAGCCCGCAGGCCTGATGCTGTTCTTTCCGACTCTACAGTGTGATCACGCAGGTCGTCTGGGTGACAAAAATAAATGGGAATAAATGAAGCAATTAAAGCCGGTTGTAGTGATGCACGGTTATTGCACACATTTGAGCTGGTCAGTTTGTTTCATGTGTCTAGGTGGTTGTGCAGAACGAATGGAGCAGAGAGCAGAGCAGCTTGTTGGTGAGCGTCCGCCTGATAGGAAAGGTAAAAGAAGGCCTGTCCTTCTGCCTCCACTGAGGCTCTCTCTGCCAAAACTGCACACTTGAGAGCGCGCTGAATAACAAACCAGCTTTTCATCAGGTTTTCATTTGTGGTAGCCTGTGCTCCCTCCACTCTGGTGCTTTTAAATACAGGGAGCGAAAGAGTGCAGCAAGTGCACGGTTCAAAGGGAGGCGTTGAAAGTTGGGCATTTTCTCTTTCCTCTTTGGTGGGAGCCTTTTGTTTACTGCTCGGTCGCCTGCTGCAGGGATACAGCACGAAAGCTTGGCTCGGGAGACAAACATCTCAGCTATGCACTAAACAAACTCTTCTGGTTTGCTCTTCCAATCCCGTTTACATCACAAACACTTTTGGTGTGTTTGGGGTCTTTTTCTTTTTCTTCTTTTTCTTTTTTTGGCTGTGCAGAAATGTGAAAGGTTCCCGCAGGTGGTGACAGCTTGGGTGGGCCCATTGCTTTCCAGGCCTGAGGGTGAGCTTGATGTGGCCTTGTGGTTGCTGGGGTTTTTATTTATTGCTCTTTTTTCCTGTGTTTAGGTGGCTGGATGGCCTGGTCGCTGTGGTCGGCCTGTGATGACTCAGGCCTGCAGATGAGGAGTCGTGTGTGTGGTGCTCAGGGCAACACCCCCTGTGTGGGGAACAGCACTCAGCGTAGAGACTGCAATGAAATACCCGGTGAGTTGTTCGGCTCTCAGATGCATACTGTAACCGTGAAGCGTCCTTCAACATTCTCATCAGAGCTCAGTGTTGGCCTCTCAAGAGCTCCTTGCGAGCGTCCTTCCTTTTTCTCTGATTTTGAGGGAGCAGCCTGTATTTTATTTTGTGTCCTCGAATGTCACCAAACACGCTGCTTTTCACCTATTCCATCATGGCTTTAGCTTGCCTTTGTCACAAAAACTCCATGATGCTGTTTTATGGGAAGTTGTAAGCACGCATTTTTGATGTGCAAAGCGAGGGTACACAAACAGCTAGCTGTTCTAGTGGCTCAGCCTTGTCTGTTTTTTGTTGTTTTTTCAGATTTTGTACATTTTGTGTCATTTTAATGGCAACAAAACTGACTGACAACACAACTAATAGTTACCCCCAGGAGGCTGACAATATTTTCAGACACTTGGAGCATTTTGACGTGCTCTGAAAGCGTTGTCAGTGTCGGGAAAAAATGTAAGTCATAGTCAGAGGGCTTATTTGTATTCAGTGACAAAATATCTAAGTGGCTCATGCTTGTACTTAAAAACGAACCTGTTGTAGGAAGTCATTTTTAAGCTGTGCTGGGATTTGTGAAACATGACTGGACCCATTGTGACAAACCCTTCTGTTAAATAAGGTAATCATTTAACAGAATATCAATATTTGGTGTCCTTGTATCAATACAATGCCCACCCCACACTCAAACCTGAAAGGTCTTCTACTGCAGCTACTGGTACCAACAGGTGTGTGAAACAACTGGTAATATGGGCTACTCTTACTCATGTCTATGCAGTTATTAATGTTTTTTAGAGAAGACAAAAGTCATAATTTACAAACTGAGCAGATGGAATGGAAGTCGTGTAATTAGTTAGTTGATCAGTTGTGTGTGTGGCTGCAAATAGTGTCTCTCGAGCAGAAGGAAGGCTCCTCTCACATATATCGCTCTCCATCCTGTTTTGCGTTTGACTTTATCTCTAAAGTTTCTCCACTGCTTTGATGTTATTTTCGGGGCTTTGTTAAGTGCGCTGCTGTTATTCATCTGACATGCTTTCTTCTGTTGATAAAATGAGTTACCTCTCCAAGATGTTAGTGTATGCATGCTAACTGTGTTACAGCCAAAAGCTTTTGCTTAGACATGACTGAAAGTCTCAGAATTGTTATGCTCATTTCCAACTACATACTTTTATTCTTGGACTGTTATTAGAATACCTTTGCATGGTTTACAGTCATGCTGATTTTTCCTATGTATACTTGGCCTCTGTGCTTTGGTGATCTACTACAGCAACAGTATACACATTTATGAGATAAAATAAGAAAAGCATACCATGTCCCCTTTTAGATAAATGATAATATTGGCACTCTGCCCTGCAACTGATCAGTTTATTATCTAACAATGCTCAACTACACAAACCAAAACCAGGGCTAACAATCTTCAGTATCACCATCATGTTAGTGCTTCGACATCAATTTGTGGGTTTACTCAAGCTTAATATAAGGCACAACTTCAGGATTTTATTTTGCCAAGATTTTTGATTTGCCAAATCTTCACTGGCAGCTCGCTCCAAAAGCCATAACTTGTTTGTTTGTCCAGGTTGTACGTATGCAGAATCAGCATCATCACGGTCTTCATCCTAAAACAGATATCCATAAATAAAAGCACATATTGTTTGTGTCTTAGTAGTCGACATCCTCTTTGTGCACAAAACTCATTTGCTCATGTTGATTAACCATAATTAAGTCCATGTGAATGCAATAAGTTAGCAGCTGACCCAACTGGCCTCGGCACACCTTGTTTTGCTGATGCCGATTTCAGAAAGTTTCTCCTGAAATGATCTTTCATGGCCTGCCAGCATAGGCCTCTCCAGGCTAAGAATCCCTAATGAGTCCAGACGAAGGCGATTAATATTAATGGGTTGTCACAACAGCAAATCACATCTAATTTTATTGCAGATTTCAATGAGGCGAAGGATGGATTTGTTAAGGTCACTTGCACAAGGGAGGCAGCTGTGAAGAAGTTGAAAATTTAAAAGAAATTCAGTCCAATGAGGAACTGCAATATTTAACAACTGAAAGCCACAGGCCTTCCTGCTCCTCCTCTTCCTTTGAAGAAGCTCAATGAGAGTGGAGCTGGTAGAAAGGTCGTGCTGTACCTGTAAATGTTTGTCCTGCCCCTTAGTTTCTATCACAGCATCTAGACAGGTTCAGTTCAATGGGGCTGTTGCTTCTCGCTCAAGTCAATTTTCCTCTAGAAATTCTTGAAATACCCTGATTTTTAAAAGCAAAAAAATCTCCATGGACCGTTTGTGCATCATTGAGGAGACATTTAAATTTTTCATTTACCATCTTTTTTCAGCATGTGTCAACTCCCCTGATGTTGCAACCAGTTGTTGTTGTGTTCTGAAGGCTGTTACACCAGGGAATGCATGTGTGTATGTGTGTGCATGCATGTGTGTGTCTGACTGTGTGTTCCTCTCCTCTCTGCAGTCATTCTCCCTGCATCTGGTTTTGATAAGGACCAACACTGTGGAGGTAAGTGGATTAACAGCTGCCTCCGCTTCATCTCCCTGTGCATGTTCAGGGTTTTTCTTTCCCCCTGTATGTTTCCACAGATGTCTGTCCATGATGTGTGTTTTCATACATTATATTTGTATATATTTATATGTCCATTTCATATGTGTTATTATAGTCTGTTAGAATTCCTAACAGCCAGTCAGGAGGACAACTCCTTCGTTTCATGTTTTTAATGGCCTCATACCTACTGATAGAAAAGTCCTACAGATGTTTTAACTGGACTGATAACAAAATACATCAGGAAAAGAACCCTGGACGGTCGTATTTCAGTCTTGCTTTATATTCTTATGAGCAACTTTAGTGGGTACACCTCAACTGGTCATTAACTTAAATATCTAATCAACCAACCACATGGCAGGAGCTCAGTGCATTTAGGAATGAAGACATAGTAAAGATGACCTTGTGAAGTATTTGATTGGGGAAAACAGTGATTTAAGTGATTTGGTTGCTGATGGATGGTCCGAGTATTTCCCTGCACAACTAACTAGTTCACCTGGGCCAACCTTTATATCCTGCAAGACCCAGGTGGCCTATGTTACCTGACGATCCTCCCATGCCAGCAAAACAGCAGACCGGGGCTTTAATAAGTGGGGGAGGGGCTTAACATCACCCTCCTTAAAAATCACGATTCCGCGTTGACACTGCAAATTATTCTGAAACGAGAAAACAAAAAAGCAACAATAGAAGGCAACATTAAAATGGCTTCCACACAACCTGGCCCACAAATGAGCTGACATCCACCCCCTTACTAAATCCAATTTTCCTACCACAGGAACAAATTAAGTGGTGGGAAGTAAAAGTGAATGTTGGCGGTTATAGGAATACGAGGCAAAATGGGTTCTAATTACAGGAGATTTCTAATAGTGTAACTGGTATACAGAAAGGGAAAGTAGTATCTGCCCCAGAAAGCAAATCTTTGCAAATAGGTTCAACACGAAAAAGAAACAGTTAACCTAACAGCAAGTGAAAGTCTACTCATTGGTACCTAAATGAGCACCAGATCTCATCACAAGTGCTGCCATATAGTCTGCAGCTATACACCCCCCACACAACACTGGATTTAAAGTATGAGCGTCAACCACAGTAGCACACCAAAAGGTTCCTCCAAGCAAAAACGTCAATACTAACCAAAATGGCCAAGACGGCAACAAAGGGGGAACAAAGCTACAACAAAGCTCAAAGCAAAGCAGATAATGGGTCTACAATAAAGCTACCAGACCAAACTACCAAGTTTAAATATTTCACAGCACTATCCTAGTTCAACTTTGGAACTCTTACCCTTCACACATTTTACCAGTTACACTTTGTCAGATAGTTACACCAGAAGGCTGGTCCAGCCATGTGTCCAGTAAGGCCACAAATCAACATGACAAATATGTTGGTGAAGCACTAGACACAGAGTTTATGCTCCCTAGTCCTAGTTTTTTAATACAAGTTGATCTTAACCCTAGTCTTCAGACAGATGCATATGCACCAAAAACAACGGTGCCAAAGAGCAAACTAGCAAGTTTCTGGAAACCAGATAAATGGTCCCAAGACATTGTCTTCAACAAGCTGTCACACTAAAGAGAAAGCGTGGTTGGTCTCCTATTGAGATGAACCATTACAAAAGAGATGCATGGCTCAGAGACTCATGTGGCTATACTCACCAAAAGCACAATGAAACTGTAAATTCATGGGTTTAACACCCAAGCACTATGCTATTGCTACTCTCTTCCAACATCAACCACAGAATACCTAAATTATTGTAACCGATCCAAAGAATTCTATCTTGTGTGGAACTCCCTAAGATACTCCTCACAATGCTAAATACCATTACTACTTTAAGCTGTACTCAGAACTTAGTTCAACTTGCATAAGCATTTAGCAAACCTAAAGCTAAGTTAGTAAGTCAGCACTGACTCAAAGTTCAATCTTACCAATGGGTCTAAAGATCCCGGACGAGCCCCCATTTGCCACAAACTGGTTCAAAGTAGGTGACACACACCTTCACACAAGAGGTTTACTTAAATATTTAAAAAATATATATTAAACATAACCTAACCAAGAAACAGATCACCAATAGGTTAAAGTCAGGTGGAGTGGAAGAGAGCACCTGAGCAGTTTACCTGGGCCAGCTTTTATGGCCTGCAAGACACAGGTTATCTGGATTAGCTGATGATCCTTTCATGGCAGCCAAGCAGCAGGTTTGGCTTTATGAGTTTGAAATACCATGAAATAATTGCTCAGAAATTCACATTTTTTCAAACTAGAGTGTTCATTTACCTTGTTAAAAACTTCCCAGAGTTTACGGGTTAATTTAATGCATTACACATGGTAAATATGGGTGTTGAAAAATGTCCTTTTTCAAGCTAATAATATGTACTCAAGCTTTGTTAACATCGTGTGTCATCTTTATTTTGCAGCATTTACCTCCATCCACCTAATTGCCACTGGTGTTTCCTGTTTCCTTGGGGCGGGGCTGCTATCTTTCCTGATCTATGTGTACTGTCAACGTTTCCACAAGCCTTCTCAAGAGTCTGCCATCATTCATCCCACCACCCCAAACCACCTCAACTACAAGGGCAATACCACGCCAAAGAATGAGAAGTACACACCAATGGAGTTTAAGGTAAGTGAAGCACACAATATTATGCAGAAATACAAATGAAAGTGCTGTTTACTTGGTGTTATTTAAATACACAAACACGCACACAATGTAAATATTAAGGATTCAAGGGCAGTGGGTGTGATTCATGTTTTATTTAGAGCTTTTATTCATTCATTTATCTCAATGGTGCAGTACGCGCAGAAGATGAATTACTGTTAATTTCTCTTCCTTCTCGCTCCTATACAGAATCTGTATGGCTTTACTACCTGCACCAAGCCCTTATGAATGGGGCTCATTAGCTTTCTAAAGCATTAGTCAGCCTGCGACCTCCCACTGCTATCGGTCTACTGTGCATTCACATTTACAGCAAGTCAAGAAGCTGTTTTCCTTAGAAGCCTGTAGACTTTCAGTGACATTTTGCGTCCTTCAATTGTTTTACTCTCTGATTGAGTTGGGATATTGTTATTGCATTTCTTGTTCCTGTTTCTGCAAGATGGTTTTGAGAAACAGCTGAAAAAATTATCTTAAACTCTTCTTGAGCAAAACTAGGAGGTTTGATTGTTCACTCCAAAATCAGAAATTGTATCTGTCGTAAAAATTCTGGTTAGGTGTCCTTCCCTCCTGCCTCTCTGAATGACCATAGAGGATTCATTTATATTTAAAAAAAAAAAAATACTACAATGATCATTTAACAATTGCATCTGCACCTCCTCCTTCTTGTGAAGGTGGCTGTATAATATGCAGTTTTGGGCTGTCACGGACAAACTTACAATTACTACCCTACAAACAGGAATGCAGCATGGCGATGTCGCGCTAATCATTTTGACGCTGGCCCTTTAGTGGAAAAAAATGCAAATGGAGTAATGGAAGTAAAATGTTCCAAATGAAATGTTTGTAATTCAAACAAAGAATAAAATCCAGTTGACTTGTGGCAGCAGAAGCTTGTTTGTGTGATGTGTCCTTCAGCTGTTATCATGACTGCGCCAAGGGGGACGTAGCATGGAGACAAATAACGGAGGAGTAACAGCCATGCATCTTGGCACCGCCTCAGTAGGTATTTTCATCATACTGTCTCCATGCATCAAACTTGATGTCCTAGCCAGGTTGATTAGATCCAAGTCACACAGTGTGGACTGTAATGAACTTATAAGGTTGTCAAAATCTTGCAGTGTAGACACCTTAAGGAAAGAGGCTGGATGGGATTTGGTCCCGAGTGCTTCAGCCATAAAAAAAATCCCCCACATAGAAGAAAATCTATGTTACGTCATGATATCTCTCACAAAGGACTGGGCCATCCACATTTTACTATTGCAGCCAGGCACTCACCAGATGATGTCAAATAAGTCTGTGAGAGTTTTGAGTTTAAGGCCTGTGGGATGAGGTTCAAACTGGGCCATGCTTTTCGACTTTAACATTAACCTCGTGTTTGCAGTCTGTTGGTGTTTGTCACTAAATATCTTTTTTAATAACATTTCATTTCAACTCAACTTTAATTATATAGCGTCAGTTTAATGACAGTTGCCCCAGCGCTTGACATTGTAAGGTTAACACCCCAACAATCAGACGACCCCTCTGACAAAGCACTTGGCAACAGCGCTAAGATAATCTTCGTTTTAGCTGTGAATGTGCTGGTCTTTGCTTAAAGATGCATGTTAAAAACTAATTTTAAAAAAAGAAGAAGCTAAATTCGTGTTTCAGGGTTACATTTGGACAAATAGAGGCCCTTTTTTCTCCAGACCACAATTTGGTTAGGCTGCCCACCTCACAAGCATCATGGCATATGTAAAGATGGTCACTTTGCTCACTATCTTCTTAGTAAAAGCCTGTAATATTAAAATAGAAGTATCATAGTATTATAAAGCTATTTTAAGTCTGTACAAAACTTATTTTTTTGCCAGCCAGTGTTTCCAAGCTCAGATTCATCATTCATCATCAACAAACGTGGTGCCAAATAACTATTTCTCATCCCAGTGTTTTTTGATTGTGTCAGCCTCTCGATACTTGTTGTCTTCACTGTTATTGTTGGCGGTTGTGTGGATGTGTTGCTGACAGCCATCGTGGTGTTGAGAGCCCGAACTCATTAGCTTTAATGACCAGAGGGGATAGCCAGACTCTGCTGGATGTGCATCCGATGTCACCATGTAGCACTACGGCACTGTTTATGCAGTGGCTTCCCTCTCCTCCAGGCCAATTTATGTTGCCCACTGTTGTGCATTTCACTGACTCTAACCTGATTATCTTCCTGCCCTGCTCCCCAGAGCTGTTCAGATGGATTACATTAGTCTAATGCTTCCCCTGGAAAGTGTTTCACCTTATGGTCGGCTTTTACCAGAGACTCTGCAAATGCATTAGAATAAAATGTGGGTTTTAGACTTGTTTTTATTTGAGAGCTCCAATGAATTCCCGCCATCTCCTATATTAAGAGCATTGACAAGATCCAAATTAAATTTGTTAAATTGGTTTGCTTTGGTTATGAATACACTTTCGCTCACACAATAACCTCAAAGCTACTGGAGGTATTTTATTTACCTGCAGGGAAGATTAACTTCTATATTATCTGCACCTCTGAGGAATGCAAAACAAAACTGTCCACGCCAAAAACCCTATTCCTGTCTCAAGAATTCCAGCTATAATTGAATCCTCAAAACTTGGTCTGAAAGTGACTGAAAATATATTTCAGTGTTGCGTTATTTTCCAGATCTACATGTATGAGGGATTTTCCAGAAGTGGATGCCTGTATCTGTAACGAAGCAGATTGAGCTGCATAAGAGTCGAGTGTACTTCAGTAAAATAGCATTTATTTTGGAAAAAATACTTGACAAGCTCATTTGCATTGGAAACATGCTGAAGTATTTTTATTGCTTTGGCAGCCAAACAACTCGAGGATGTATTCACATTCACTTCCTCACCAAGTTAGAAGATAAGATTACTCATGTGGGTATAATAATTATGAGGCTAAAGACAAAGACAGTTGGCTTAGCTTAGCATGAAGATGGTAAATAAAGGGGATGGCTTACTTGGCTGTTTAATGTTTATAAAATATTGTCTGCTGGCATAGTGTTTCATAGTGTGCATATGATTTTAATGCGACTTTCTTCCCTTCTGTGTTATTTCAGACACTGAATAAAAACAACCTGCTGCCAGATGAAAGATCCAATTTCTACCCAACACCGCTCCAGCAGACGAACGTCTACACCACCACCTACTATCCCACAGCGCTCGGCAAATTTGACTACCAGCCCAACTCATCCCCATCACCGTGCAGGACCTACAACCACACTAACAATAGCTGAGACCCGCCCCAAATCCGGCTCTCCACCCTGCTGCCCCAAACGGACGCCACCCCCCAATGCCATGGTGACATAACTGAACCGACATGAACTGAAGTGTTTTTCAGAGCTTGGCCAAGTTCCTCTGATCACCATCGCCCCCTGTCTTTGCTTTCTAGCCTCTTCACGTTTGTTTTTAAGGGTCTTTTTGGAACTTTCCATCAGGAGATCTGGATTGGAGAGGAATGCCCCTGTCCTATTATAGTCAGGAACTTGTGCAAGCAGCTGGGGCTGTGTTGTTGTAAAGGCCTGACTGGATAAAGCAGTGTCAACTCTCAGCTTCATGCAGAGAACTAGTGGAAAACTCTACGAGGACGAGTAACGGCTTTAGACAGATTGTTATTACCGCGCACTTCAGTGCCGATGCCGGGTCGGTCGACCATCCGCACTTCTAGAGGCTAACACGAAAACAATAAATTTAAAAAGAAGAAACATTTCTGTGGAGCTGGGTCACCGTTTTATGCCTCTCCATCACAAACCACATTTTCAGCTTGTAATGAACTTCGAGTCCCTCGACAGCAAAAGCAGTTACAGAGAACAAAAAGCACGTATAGCTACGTCCTTGCCACACAGCACAAAGCAAGAGAACAACAGTAAAAAAGAGAAAGCTCAATGAAGTCAATGCTGGAGTAAATTAGAGATCAATATCAGCTCAGTTGTTTGGGGGAGGGGGATCCACGCCCTTCATTGTTGCTATTTCACACGACAGAAAAGATAAGAAGTTTGGGGTTGATTAGGGTTTGACTACGCTTCACATCATCCTCAGTCGAAGGAGAAATATACCGCTTATGAGTCGAGTCCCTTGTCTTTAGTGGGCAGGGATATCGACTCCTACAGTCAAAGCACGGAGCGTTGGAAGCGTTCTGAACTGTAAAAGCTTTGGGAATTCCGTGGGTGCCTGTATGCAATAGAAGGCAGGGGCGAGATTTGTTTTATTTCTACTTTTTTTCCTCTATTTTTTGTTTTGCTTTTCAAGAACAATACAGACTTCTGGAAAGGAATTGATTGATTCTCCAATTGATTCTCCAATGGATGCATCGATTCTGCTGAGTGCTAAATAGCCCGGTGGTCATATCAAATATGGCCAGTGTGCTGAACAAGTGGATTGGGTTTTCTATGATGGTAGAATAAGCTAGTAGATTGTCACTTGTTCATTTTTTTTTTAAATGTTTGTTTTTCTAAGATGATAATTGTTTTATGCTCAGATGAGCTGTAGCATAGGAAGAAATATTTTGTTAAATAAGATAACTAATTATTTCTTGTTTCTCTAATTTCCATTTCACTGAATGAACACATTCCTTTTGTTTTTGATTGTTCGGCTTTGTGACCATTGCATCTTCGATACATGAAATGTTAACACACAAAAAAAATAAAAGGATTTCAATTATATTGTTTTTGCAAAGAATGTCAAAAAATATCGATCTGGGCCCTCTTGAAGAGAAAAGAAAATTGCTGAATTACGCTTGCCTAAGTTTACCAGTGAACATCAAAAGGGATGCATGCGTGTCTGAATGTAAGTGTGCTTGAATGAGCAAAGAGAGCCTACTGTATTTTGTACAATGTAAATGCTTTCATACATATGACTATGACGTCTGCAAAGCGTGTGTATGAGTGTGTGTGTGTGTGTGTGTGTGTGTGTGTGTGTGTGTGTGTGTGTGTGTGTGTGTGTGTGTGCACTTCTCCACATTGTGTTGCAGGCATTCTACTGTTTCCTTTTCCTGTTTCATGTCTGAGATGTAAGTTAAAGCATCACACCTCTGGTCCGTGCGGAGGTGGAATGGACGTTATTTATAGTCAAAGCTTGGTTTATAAAGGGCATTCTCACAGCTATATTTTATTATTATTGCCTGATCGATGAATGCTAACCCAGCAATGCTTTTCAGTTCAGCTAATGTACATGCACGAGATGAGAGCTCTATCTGTATATAGGAGCGACAGCCTTCTACCCATTTAATGTCCTTGAAGACAGTTGTGTATATGTATCTGTATATTGTATAGCTAACACTGTTTGTTTAAAAAAAAAGCCTTATAGTTGTTTAAAGAGAAAAAAAGTACAGCAGCTAAGTACACACCAACCATGAGGTTTGTTTGGGGACAGAGCTCCACAACGTGACCGACCGCTTGTGACTTGTGACCTTTCCCAGCTGCTCAAACACAAAATCTCCAGAGTCACATGAACCCGGAATGAAAATAACCCACCAATGAGAGTACCGCGTATCATACGCTGGAAATGATCATTTATAACGGCGATATGAAATTTAAAAAGATGTCATTTTGATGTAAACTCAGCTTGTGGTCAGACGGGCGTTCAACTGACTGGTCGATCTCGAGCTCTGTCCCCTGCGATGTGAGGCTCTGTGTCCTTCTATGCAACTTACCAGGTGTACTGTTAGACCTGTCATGTATAGTAGACAAATGTATAGTAATCACTGCCTTTTAGACACTGTGAATTTTTGGTACCCTATATTTTTGTATATTGTACATTATCAAAGGACAATAAACCTTGATGCCAACATAAAAAGTTAATAGGTTTTTGTTTTTTGGGGGGTTTTTTTTACTTGCCAGTAGCTGAAATTCATATTATCAAATAGGAAATGTAAGCAAAAAGTCAAAGATGAAACAAGAACTTCCAGATTCTGCTCTGTAAGTAGGAAAACCTGATGCAAAGTCCTAATGATGCTTTAGTTAGACTATAATAATTATACAAATAGGAAAAGAACCATTAGACAGCAACTCAATGCATTTATGACCTGCTGAAGTTCAAAGTGAGCGTCAAAATAAGGAAGAAGGTTATTTAAGCAGCTTTGAAAGGGGCATTGTTAGCAGCAGACAGTCTTTCAGAAACTGTTGATGTGCTTGGATTTTCTCTTGGGTTTACAGAATATGGTCTGAAAAATAGAATATCAAGTGATTGATTGGCAGGTCACTGAGCAAACTGCCTTGTTGATGTGAGAGGAGAACGGTCAAACTGCTTTGAGCTGATAGGAAGGCAACTATTTGTTACATCTAAGGTATGCAGAAGAGCATCTCTAAATACCAAACATGAAGCAGATGAGCTACACAAGCAGAAGACCACACTTGGTGCTGTTCCTGTCACCTAAGAACTGGAGACTGAGGCTACAATTCCCAAGCGGGTCACCAAAACTGGGCAAGAGAAAATCAGAAAACTGGTCCCGGGTCTGATAAGTCTTTATCAGAATTTGGTGGAACCAATATGAAAATACTGATGTTTTGTTACTGACCATGTCCATCCTTTTAGGACCACAGTGTACCATCTTCTGATGGCGGCTTCCAGCAGGATAACACACCATGTCACAAGGTTTAAATCCTCTCACACTGGTTTTATGAACATGTACTCGAATGGTAAAAAAAAAAAATGGTTCCAATACAGCACTTTTCTACTTGAGCACTCAAATCGCTTTATACGATAGACCTCATTCACACAAACATTTTTCTCTCTGCTTTTTCTAGCAAAGTGCTTTCAATCTAACATTCACACTGCCATGCAATATGTTTGCTCATCGACAACAAAAGTGACAGTCAGCTTTTTCTTTCTGGCTTTACCATAAAAATTCAAATATAATTACATAAAACTTACGAAATGAATTTGTATGTATTTGTTCCCCTAAAACACAGCCAGAATTGTGGCTCCCAAAGACTAGCTGTGTACCCATGTTGCACACAGAATAAATCAGTCACTCAGAGATATTCCCAATCTCAGCCCATTATGTGTAAAGCATACCTGTCCACAGAATCAACTCATTCTGACCTGTACAAGGCTGGAATGGGAGAAGCTTGGTGAGAATGCGATGACTATTTGAAAATGGAAGAAATATAAAATAACCAACGGTTGTCGTTGGTCTAGAGCTCCATGCAAAACCTTGCCTCATGGGTTCAGGAGGATCATGAGAAAAGTTGTGAATCAGCCTGTCTTAAGTTTGCCATCGATCATCTAAAAGATTCAGAGAAGGCTTGGGAGAAAGTGATGTGGTCAGATGACACCAGAATCAACCTCTTTGACATTAACTCGACCTGCCATGTTTGGAGGAAGAGTAATCCTGGCTGTGACCCAAAGAATTCAATCCTCCCAGTTAAGAACAGAGATTAAAACAGGGGTGTCGAACTCCAGGCCTCGAGGGCCGGTGTCCTGCAGGTTTTAGATCTCACCCTGGGTCTACACACCTGAATCAAACGATTAGTTCATCACCAGGCCTCTGGAGAACTTCAAGAAAGGTTGAGGAGGTCATTTAGCCATTGAAATCAGCTGTGTTGGATCAAGGACACATATAAAAACTGCGGGACACTGGCCCTCGAGGCCTGGAGTTCGACACCTGTGGATTAAAACATTATGCCAGGGGTGGGGAACTCCAGGCCTCAAGGGCCAGTGTCCTGCAGGTTTTAGATGTGTTGGTTGACATTCTGTCACGCTCTCCATTTAAATGAAACTAGCATAAAAATAAAGACATTTCTTGTAAGCGAGAAAACTTAGAAATTCACCAGGGATTAAATAATTATTTCCACCACTGTCTGTATATAATTCTAAATGACACATAAAAGCTATATGCATTACAATATATTTGCATTATGATGTGTCCATAAGGCATAGTTATTCAGTATGTAAGCTTTCGGGCAACTCTAACAAACTTAAGCTCATACATCTCCATTGACAATAGATTACAAAACGTTCAAATGGTTTTAAAGGAGAGCAGTAGTGATCTGCAAAGGTTTAACTGTTGGTTGGCCATTTGTTGAAAGTGAGGATAAAACACATTGTTTACCTCATAAAAACTGAGTGGAAATAAGAATTAAAAGACCTTTTTTGGAGCAACTGTTTTGATGAAGTAATTGACATGAGTAAAGGTCAATTAGGACGTCATAATTATTGTGCTAAGTAACACCTCTGTAAAGCTATCACTCCATGTAAAAGGACTACTGTAAAAAAAAAAGGCTCCTTTCCATGTAACGGGTGTGTTGTGAGGCTTTCAGTCCCTTTCAGCAGTGATTTGTCCTGTTTTGACAGTAGCCTATAAACCAAAACCTTAAAGAAAATGAGAGCAGGAATGAAGTCTATCCTACTGTTAGAAAGAAAGAAATGAGTTTAGTTGAAAGCTGAAAATAGAAGATTTCTGTTGTCATTCACCCTGTTGCTGTTTTCTTTATTCCACACACCCAACCCAGCTGCCTACATGTGTGCTTTGCTCTTGAGCTGCCTAAGGTTCACAGTTTGAAATGCAGAGCCTTCAGCTTTCAGGCCCCTCTTCTGTTAACCAGCTCCCAGTTTGGATTCAGGAGACAGAAACCCTTTCTACTTTTAAGATTAGGCTTAAAACTTTCCTTTTTGATAAAGTACATTGTTATTGCTGGATCAGGTGACCTAGCTTAGTTATGCTGCAATAGGTCCAGGTTGCGGGGGCTGCCCATGATGCACTGTTTCTTTTTCACTCACTATGTGTTTATACACCACTCTGCATTTAATCAATATTCATTTTTAATCTCTGGCTCTTTTCCACAGCGTGTCTTTGACATGCCTTCCTCCCCTCACCCCCAACCGGTCATGCCAGATGGCTGCCCCTGAGCCTGGTTCTGCCGGAGGTTTCTTCCTGTTAAAAGGGAGTTTTTCCTTCCCACTGTCGCCAAAGCAGATCATATCATATAAATATATCTATTCTTTGTTGCTTGTCCTTGTCAAGGTCATAGGGGGGCTGGAGCCTCTCCCAGCTACCATATGGTGAGCGGCAGGGTACACGCTGGATGGGTACTCCAGCCTGTTGCAGTGCTAACATGGAGAGATAGACAACCATTCACACTCATATTCACACCTATGGGCAATTTAGATTTTCCAATTAACCTAACCCCACTAACTGCATGTCTTTGGACTGTGGGAGGAAGCTGGAGTTTGTGGAGAGAACCCACACAAGCACAGCAGAGGCGGAGCCAGACATTTGAAACACCCGGGGCTTAGCCCTAAAGGGTAGTATGCATGTGGGATTTT